CGTGAACAGGCGCTTTATCCACCCTATATTCTTCTCTCGTTCCTCTGCCCTTGCCTTGGTCTTGTCGTTGTTTCGCACCCATGTCTGTATGGCAATCGAGGCTGCCTTCCCCACTACCTGAAGTTCACTCGTCACCTCTCCCGCGAGCTCCCTTCTCTTTCTTTCGGGTATGGAGTCCGTGAGTGCGGGTAGCGTGCAGGCAATCACGGGTGCTATTTTGTCGTACTCCTCTTCGGCGAGCGCCCCAAATCTAGACCCTTTCGCCTTTAAGGAGGCTGCCCTCGCTCGTCTCAGGAATGTGGCGGTGTCTTTTGAGTCCGGCGCCTCCCGTTCAACTCTTGCTGTCGCCCTCGCTGTGTGTTTGTCGAGCTTCCGCATGAAGTGACGCGCCTCTTCCTTATTTCCAGCGCAGCTGCCGCTCAGTATGTGCGCCAACGACGCCTGTGGTGGCTCATTGTCTTCTTGTTTCCAGTCGTCCCAGTCTTTCAGTTCCCCGCGTCTCCTCCTTGCCTCGCGCGCCTCTTTTGCGACCTCATCCCTAGCCGCTTTGCACGCTCTGCATCCCCAGAACGCACTTCTCGTGGCGGGGCCCCTCATTCCCCGTTTCTTTTCCCCCTCTAGAATACGCCTGTGGTGTGCCCCATGTGGCACCCCGACCTGTTGTCTCACCCTGGCCCCCAAGATCGAAGGAAGTAACCAGTGTTGCAAAATTCTTGTTCCACCGCTCGGCGGATTTTGCCGCCGGCCACATAAAGCACAACCCCGGGCTCTCTTCACCAACACTCGATGTCCAAGGCAACGCTCGAGCCCTTCCTCCTCTGCCGCGGCGACACCTTCAAGGTGAAGGACGAGCTGAAGGGCATCGCCGGCGCCGCCTGGAGCAAGCCGCTCGGCGGCTGGCTGATTCCCGCTGACCGGCGCGACGAGGTTGCCGCGGTGCTCGACAAGGCGGGCATCGCGCACAGCGCCGAGGCGCCCGGCACCGGCGCCGAGGCCGCTGCGGCAGCGACCACTGCCGTAGTCGAGGCCTCCTGCTCCGCTGCCGCTGGCGCAGTGCTCACGGTCTCGCCGCACAAGAAGGCCGTCCTCGTGACGGGCGAGACGCAGAAGGTCAAGGAGCTGCTCAAGGCGCTCAAGGGAAGCTGGAACAAGGGCCTCGGCGGCTGGTGCTTTCCGGGCTCGCAGCGCGCGGCGGTGCTGGCCGCGCTGCGCAAGGCGAGATCACCCGAGATACCCGAGGTCACCGCGCCTCGCCAAGTCGCCCTGTCGCCGCCGAGAACCCGGCCGATAGCTCCCGAGCCCGTGCGCCGCGTCAACTCACAGCTCGACCGTGAACAGGACCCGACCAACACCGTGACGGAGGGCGAGGCGGCGGCACAGCCGCCTGCGAAGCGGCAGAAGGGAAGCGCCGCCTCCGAGGGTGGCTTCATCAACGACGACGACAGCGAGTGAGCCCCCTGTGCGGGCGGCAGCGGAGCATCGGGAAGGCGGGGCGGCACCAGCCAGCTGCAGTCCGAGAGCAACAGGGGGGCTGCATTTGGGTCGCCGGCTCAATGGAAGCGGCTCAACGGGCGGATCGCCATGCGGCCGTTCGCCACTCGCCGGAGGGTGCGCCGCACGGCCCCTCCCTTTGAGCCGCTTCTCGAGCAGTCGGGCGCCGCCGCAGGAAGCTCTGGCATCGCGCGGCATCGGCGCACGCAGAGTCTGTGATGTCGAGACCTCGGAGAGGCCGTGCATTTGGCTCCCGCGCTGGGTACCGCCTGAGGGCCGTCTCAGACGGTACCACTCGACGAACGGTGTCCGCCCCCGCTCTGGCTTTGCGTGTGTTCTGCGACCAGGGGACGTTTTGCGGTATGCAGAGAGATTGCGATGTGCTACGCCCTGCCGCTAGCCGGCGCCCAAAAGGTTCGACTTTATCGTCCCACTTTTTTTTGAAATCTTTGAAAAAACTCTGACATTTTACGAACTCCTTGGCGACGCGCGCGCCGCGTCGCCAAGGCTCAGCGACCTCGGTCGTACAATCGGCCGGCTGCGCGGGTTTTCGGCGAGTTTCCCGCGCACCGGCCACGACGGACCAACCAGACCAAAAATCGCGACGCTCGCGCGCAAAAATCAGCACGGAATCAACGCTCACGACGCTCTCGATGATCTCGATGATTCGAGGATTTGAGGATGGTGAGGGGTGAGGGTGAGGTGTGCCCCCCCCCTCCCCCCCCGCCCGGCCTCGAACCCGCAGCCAACCGGCCCGAATGCGAACCTCTGACCGCTACGCCAGCCACCAATGCACAAACCTCGACGCCACAAATTTCTGAACCCCATACACCCATGCACTCAGCTCACAATCAGCACCCTACACAGTATGATTCCCGCGCGTCTCGCGCCCCAACTGACAACTCACCATTGTCCCTCGGACACCACTCTCCAGCCGCGCTACTTTCGCCCACCCACCGCTCTCGCATGACATCTCGACAATCCTCATCTCTGGGCCCAAGACTCCTAACCACTGCCCCTGCTCGCCCAGGACCACGAAGCGCCGCCCGCGCGCCCATTGACCCCCCAATCAACCCACGCTGTCCCTCAATCGCCACCCGCCAGATGTACTGCCCTCGCCCACCCAATACTCTCACCCTCCTAACCCGGACAGTCCAGGTACAGGAAAAGCGGGGAGCGGGGCCCGATCCAAGGAGTACCCCCGTCGGCCCGGGAGGGCTGTGAATTTCGGCGCGGGCGGAAGGCTGCCTGCAGACGCTCAGCCCCCGGCTGAGCTGCCGAATCCTCCCGGCTAATCACACTGACCTGCCGCCTGAAACGGGACAACATTACACCA